TGGCCGGTCCCGGTCCGGTACGGGCGCGACACTGAGGGTTGCAATCCGTTGCCGGACACGATAAAAGACAAAAAGGAAAAAAAAAAAAAAAGAACACGTGCAGAGGCCACCTCACATCTGCATGTATGTGCCCCCGACATGTACTCAGCAGCCAAGTAGAGACTCCAGAAACTTCTCTCCCCCCTCACCTGCACCCTGGCCCCCCACCCAGCAGCCCCACCCACCACCCCAGGTTAGAGCCAGGAACCGGTGCCTGGGAGTGGGCTGCCACCCCATGTCACCCCCACCGGGATCTCGTTATCCCTCCTGGCTTCTGGGTGGGCCAGAAAGGCAACACCAAGATCAGGGGCAGGAACTGGGGGACCCACGGTGGCTGTCAGCACCACTGACCCTGTAGCAGCTGAGCCCATGGGCCTTCGTGTCTGACCCCATGCCAGCCCTGCCTGGGTACAACGGGCACTGATGTTCCTGGTGGTCAGAAACTCGCCCAGGCCCATGTGAGTGTGGCCGCCCATGTTTATGCTGAGACCCTCTTGGTGAACCCTGTGTCTTCCCTCCGAGCATGGCCTCACCAGCACTTTCTGCACGTGGGACCTGAGCTGTCATTCCACAGCTAAGCCCAGCATCGCCTGGAACCTGCCTTCCCTGAGCCACAAAGCCAGCAGTATCTCAGGCACAGATGTCTGGCCCAGAGAGGCTGAGAGCAAAGCTTCTCAGTCCTAGAGGCCCCCCAGGACCAGCACAGACCTGAGGTCTGACTCTCCATGACCAGAGGGAGGCCCCAGCGCTATGCCCTCTACTGCCCTGGCTCCTGCAGGCTGAGCGCCCCAGGGCAGGGCCCGAAGTCCACCTGCACAGAGAGCCTGACTGAGGGGCAGCCAGGCGCTCCCTGAGGAGGCAATGGAGGACCCGCGTGCATATATACACACGCATGCACACCTGCATGCACCTGTGTGCATGCCCCCTGCCCCATCCCTCCCTCTTTGTCTGCAGGTGTCCTTGGCCCACTTTCCCGTGGTCCCTGCTCTTCCCCAAAGCAGCTGCAGTTGGGCCTTGTCTTTTTCCTGGACACTGCACCTCTGGTCGGTGTGGGGGAGGATCATGCTCGGCCGCCCTCTTCCTTGTAGTCCTACATGTGCAGCCATGCCTCCTAACACCTCCCTGAGCTGGGCTCACACTCCTTGGGGCCCTCTGTTCTGCCCCTGCTTCGGCAGGCCCTCAGAGTCAGTGGAGCAGGAGGTCAGAGCAGCCTTCATGCTGCCTGGTGCTGTAAAGCATGTCCTTTGTTAAAACATCAACTATGCAGCAGGATTTTAGCCCACCAAATAGATTGATTGATATAAGATTGCCATGTCACAGTCATCAACCTTAGGCGGACCACGCTGGGGTGGACTAGGCCACTGGGAATAAACAGCCATGAAGGCTCTTCACGATCCATCACTCGGGCAGCCGTGCGTCCGCCGGCCAACACACTGTTAATAAAGCTCGGGAGAGGCACTGTCACCTGGCAGGATGGATGGACACAGTGGCCGGGCTGGGCCTATCTGCCTTAGCTGACACCAGGCTCCTCGGGGCAGCAGGCGCAGTCCTGCCTCAGGTTCCCACGCGGCCAGCACACGCCGGATCTACAGGCTCACGGCCCCTTTCAATGGAGGCTCTCCCACCTCCTCTCATTTTGCAGATGAGGCAACTGAAGGTGGGTGAGCGACTGTCCCAGGACACAGCCTGGGCGAGGAGTCTGGGTGGAAACGGTCCTTCTGCTCCGCCTCTGGCAGTGAGTCACTGGCCAGGCCCGACTGGTACCGCTGACTGCAGGTGCTCTGGGGGAAGATGCGTTCGAGCTGCTCTCTGTGGCTCAGGTTGGACTGGGTGTCCTGGGACGGAGCTGTGTCCAGCATGCAGGTGAGGCTGCGGCACATGCCCAGGGGAGCCCAGGACGGAACATGCACTGGAGCTGGAGAGCAGCCCTGCCCACGTGTCCCACAGAGAAGGGGCTGGTCTGCTGGCCTTTCCGGCGGCGAGGGCCAGCACTTACTCCAACAGCAGCCAACCTTGGGGTGGCCTGATCCACAGTCTTACCCGAGGGGAACTTCGGCTCTTAGGGCCTGGTGGAGCAGTGGTCAGCTAGCATGGAGCTGGAAACCACAGCCAGGCAGGCAGTCCACAGGGAGCTCCGTGCTGCCCCTGTCAGGCACCCTGCTGTCCTGTGCTCACCAGCTGCCCTCAGACACCAGCAGCACTGTGAGGCAGCTCCCGCCTGTGTTCAGCAGAACAGCAGCCCCCAAAGACCTCCTACCTAGGACCTGTGGATACAGCACTTCACACAGCAAAGGGGACTTAAGGTTGCAGATGGAGTTGAGGGTGCTGGTCAAGGAGATTGCCCAGGATCATCCAGGTGGTCCCAGTGTGATCACAGCGTCCTTCTAAGTGGAGAGGTGGCTGGAGTCAGAGACGGGGTATGAGAAGGACTCGACCAGCGTCGCTGGCTCAGTGGAGGGAAGAACCACAGCCCAGGACTGGGGTGGCCTCTAGAAGCTGGAAGGGACGAGGAGATGGAGTCTCCCCACAGCCTCCAGAAGGAGCCAGCCCTGCCCACACCGTGATGTTGGTCAAGTCAGTGAGACCCATTAGACATCTGCAAGATGAATAAATGCAGGAGAATAGACGTGTGTTGTCTTAAGCCCCTAAGTTTGTGGTGATTTGTCACTGCATCTTTCTATTCCCCTGTATCCTTACACTAAACAGCCGTTAGCTGGAATTTTTTTTTTTTTTTGTCTTTTTCCGTGTCCGGCAACGGATCGCAACCCTCAGTGTTGCCCCGTACCGGACCGGGACCGGCAACGGGATTGCAACCCTCGGTGCTGCTCCCGCGCCCCGCTCAGCCAGTGAGCGGGAACTGGTCTGTATGTGGGATCCGAACCCTCGGCGGGAGCACCGCCGCGCTTCCCAAGCGGCGCACTATAGCAGTGCGCCACCGGGCCGGCCCTGTTAGCTGGAATTTTAAGGGGAAGAAAAGAGATTATTGAAGGATTCTCTTGGAAATGGGACTAGGGTGTCCCTTCTGTCCCCGTGTGCCCATGTCCTCCCCAAGCTTCCTCCACAACCTCTGCCTTGCACTCCTGGTCGCCCATGAGGGATGGGCCCAGGCAACCTTGGCACGCTCACAGGTGACGAACGCACCTATGTGGGAAGGAGTCTCCAGGACAGGGCATGCGGAGCCCATCTTCCTGGGGCCGTCCACTCTGTCCAGAGGCTGGTACGTGGTTGGCCTTGTGCAGAGCAAGCCTGACCTCTGCCTGCTCTTGTCAGCACCTTCCTGGGCCTTTCCTTCCCTCTTGCGGGTCCAAAGTTGTGACATTCCTTGACACAAGTACAGAGGTGAGGCACACCTTTCACCTGCGCCAGCCCTGCCTCTGCCTCTTGGAAACTGTCCTCACCTGTGAAGATGGGTAAGGTGCCTATGTCCAAGGGCATGAGCAGGATTTGGTGGGAAATCACATTCCAGAAAGCTCCTGGGCAGCTCCCAGTGCAGGCTGCAGGCTCGGTAGATGGGTCCCCTCCTTGGCCCTCAGTCCCTGATGAGCAGGTTCACCAGGACCTGCTCATGGAGGAGGGTGTGGAGCCTGGTGCTGGCGGGCCTGGGGTCAGTTCCCAGAGCCGGCTGTGTCCTGCTGGCCTCGGGGGCACCAGGACCCCAGGCAGGTAGTTTTCTCGCTGTCCTGTCTCCCTTCCCAGTGCCAGAAGTGGCTCTGGGACAGTTTGAGGGGCAGAGCTGATATGAAGGGGGGACTCACAGGCCAAGGACCCTGCCTCGTTAGAGCCATGCCCAGGGCACCTCGTCTTTCTGGCCTGTGCTCAGTTTTTCCTCTGCTGAGACTCGGCACCCTTGGGTGCAGCCCATGACCTCCAGGGCCAGTGACCTGCAGGCCCTGCCCCTGACCCCAAGGTGGGTCTCCC